CGCCTCGAAGCCAGAATTGTGTCTGCAACTGCTGCAGGAATTCCGCGTGCCTCGAGGTTAGACCTGACAGAGGCCAAGCCACCCACTGAATCCGTGGATTTGGGTGGGGCGCTCCGTTCTGAGTGAGAATGTCCGGTCGCAAAGGTAATAGAACAGGAGGCTGAGCCAGAAACCTGAGAATTACCGGAAACCAGCTCTGTGACGGCCAAAGCGGTGCCAGTAGCACAAGTAGCCGAGCTGGCTGGGTGGACAGCTGTGAAAGGACACGGGGAATGAGTGGTAACGGCGGGAACGCCCAGAGCACTTTGCCCGTCCAATCCAGCAGGAAGGCGTCGGCAGCCAACGCCCTCTGGTCCGGTATCCGAGAGCAGAACACGGGTGTCTGATGCGTCCCGCCGGACGCAAACAGATCCACCTCGAACGACCCGCATAACTGGGAGATTACTGTGAATATCTGCCTGTCGAGCATCCATTGCGTGCGGGGCCAGGATCCGGCGAGAGAGCGCATCTGCTCGCACGTTCTCCAGCCCCGGGAGATAAACAGGGAGTACCTGACAATCGTACTGGTCGCCCAGAGGAGAAAGTCCCACGCTTCCCGGAGGAGCGCTGGGGACACCGTGCCTCCCTGCTTCAGGATGTACGACATGGCCGCCTGGTTGTCTAACTGAAGACGGACTACCTGGCCACGGACATGCTCTCTGAAGCGCCGAATACCAACCGCACAGCCTCAGCTCCAACACGTTGATGTGAAGGTGAGCTTCGGCTTCGGACCAGAGTCCGGAAGCCGACAGACTGCCCAGAACGCCCCCCCAGCCCGTGAGGGACGCATCTGTCTGAACTGTGAGAGCTGGCGTCGGGATTTCCAAGGGGAACCCCCTGGTGAGATTCCCGACATTTGTCCACCACTGAAGGTGAGGTGTCAACCACTCGGGGACTGTGAGACTGCGCTCCAGATCCTCCGTGTGAGTCCACAGCCGAGCCAAAGCTTGCTGTATGGGACGCATCTCAACCGCGCCCGCCACACTACAGAGATCGTCGCCGCCATATGGCTCCAGTAGACGGAGCCAAGTCCGTGCTGGTGCCTGGGGCTGGGAGAGGAATGAAGATACCATCTCCCGAACTCTGGTGACCTGGTCGGGCGACAAGGAAACGAGATCCTTGTTCGTTTGAATCGCGCTCCAAGAAAAACCAAGTCCTGGGTGGGTACCAGGTCGGATTTCTTGAGGTTGATGATCCACCCCAGTCGAGTTAGAATGTCTATCACTGTGTGAGTAGCATCTTGACTCGCTGGCTGTGTTAGTGCTCCGAGCAACCAGTCGTCTAGGTAAGGGTAACAACGCCTTCCTTGCGAGCGAGCTAGGGTAGCTGGGACTAACATGAGCTTGGTGAACACCCTTGGGGCAGTCGATATGCCGAAGGGGAGCACCCTGAATTGGTAATACATCCCGTCGTAAGAGAACCGGAGGTACTGCTTGAACGAGGGATGTATGGGTACATGCAGATACGCATCCTTTAGGTCGATTGACGTGAGCCAATCGCCGGGCTGAACAGATGAGATCACCGAGCGCAGTGTCTCCATCTTGAAGGATGGTACTTCGAGCATGCGATTCAACCCCTTGAGGTTGAGAATCGGACGGAACCCGCCGTCTTTCTTCGGGACGAGGAAGTACGCGGAGTAAAATCCCGCCTCGTTCCTCTCCCGGTGGAATGCGCCGACATGCGGACTTGTCCAGCAGAGCCTGAACTTCGTCGTCGCAATATGTCCGCCTGGCTTGGCATGACGGCACCGGAGGCCAGATGCCGGGTGAAGTCGGGCGGACTCGCCTCCACAGTGGGAGATGGCCTATGCTGACCGTGGCCAGCACCTGCTGTTGTTGGTAGCCTTCTCCCATTCCGGCAGGAATAGAGAGAGGCGGCCTCCCACTGGGATATGGGGTAGGAGCGCGTGCGTGGACCCTAGTAGCGGAGCTGACTGGGTGTGACACACGGCTTGAGCGGCAGCCTGTTGGGTTAACGGAGGTCGGGCAGACCTCCCGCGCTCGCGCTGAAAAGGCTGGGAGCTAGTCGAGGACTGCTCCTTGCCCCTACCCTTGGCGGACCTACCTCCTCCTCCCTACCCCTACCAAGCGGCCGGGCCAGCCGGCAGACTCGGGTGTAGGCTGCACCCCGGCGGAGGAAGGTGGCACGGGAGCGCGGGGCGAGACACCCGCGGGTGCTCCAACAAGGCCTTAGAATCCTTGAAGGAGGTAGCTGCAGCGGCAGCCTCCCGTATGACCTGCTGTGCCCCGGAAAGAGGGTCGCCCCAGACGGAAAGGGAGAGCCAGCAAGGTCTGCTGTGTTGCTGCCGAGTACCTAGACGTCGACAGCCACAGCCTGCGATCCCCATGACTGCGCGACATCACCGCCGACGCAGCAGACCGCAAAGAGTCGCGCGAGGTGAGCCTGAACTCCTCCGACAGCTGACGGAGTAGCACGATGCGCGGCGACACGCCGCCAGCATGCCCTCCGCCTCCAGGGCCGACCTCTGTATCGAGGAGAGGTAGGCCTCATGGACCACCACCCGCACCTGCTGCATCGCGTTCCGGTAGACCTCCTCGTAGGTCCGGTACGCGTCGCGCAGGGGATATTCGCGAGGGCAAAGGTGGAGGAGGCGCCCTTGCCGAGCAGCCGGAGCTGCTCCGGAGGAAGCCGAGCCCCCAGGGCGACGGAAGTGAAAACACACTCGTCAACGATCGGTACGACGAACAGGGAATCCTCCCCAAGCTGGTAGCGCCGCACGAAGTTCAGGTAAGTCAAACCTGACTCGGGTACCAGACAAGAGGGGATCGACCACGCCCGCCACCAACGATGGCAGAATGCGGAGCTGCGTCTCTGTGAGGGTTGCCTAGGGCAAACGCCTCGCCAGGCAAGCGGAACTCAGTCGAGTCCACGCAACCAGCAGGCACCGCTGCCTGGGTAGGCCCTCGGCAATTCTCTGCCGGACCTCCCGCAAGGCCGGCAAAACGAAAGCCGCCGCCATGCTCCTCGACCTCCCCGAGCTCCATTGCCTCGGCGTCCGAGCCCGAGTCAGAGGCTGGGTCTCCTCCGTAAGAGGACCCTAACCCCGACCCGGTGGACTGCCTAGCGCTGGGCACCACAGGAAGGGAGGAACAGACCGACTGCTCCACGTCAGCGCCAGCCGGCGTGCGCGTGGACCCGTCCCGGTGAGACGCTGGAGGCAGGCCAGGCAGAACTGGTGCCTCCGCTCTCATGGGGCGGGTGTGCGCAGGGACCGGAATACCAGGAATACTCAACGGCCCAAGCGCAAGCTCCGAGAGGGGGACTGGGAGCACCTCCCTCTCCGGAGCAGCCGAGGCGTCCGGATCCGAAGCCAGAGGCAACGGATCGACAGACGCCTCAAGGCTGAGGGATCTAGCCGAGGCCGGCGATCCCACCCCCGGACTCTCCGCCCCCCGTCCGGAGTGGGCGAGGAACTCCTGGCGGAGACCTCCAACCGACTCCCGAACGAAGGACTTCATTGAGTCCATCTGCTTCTGAAACATCGACTCCATTAGAGACATGTCAAAACCACTCGAAGTGGTAGGAGAGGGGGAAGGGCCACGGGATTTTTTTCCTTTTTTGGACGCCCGTTTAGATTTTGACGGGGGAACCTGCGTCAGGTCCCCTCCCGCCTCACGCATCTCGCGGTAAAACAGGGTGTCGGCCGCCCGCCTCTTCTGTGCCCGGGGGGAAAAGGCCAGACAAATTGAACATGTATCAGCCACATGGCCCGTCTTCTCCAGACAGGCCACGCATTGGGAGTGACTGTCAGCCCGGGAATACTTCCCCCACAGACCGAACAACAGGTAAAAGCCTGAAACAAACACGTAAACATGTTAGTTAACTTGTGGCCAGAAGCAGAGAAACACGTAGAAAACATTGAAAAAATACGTGAAGGTTACCACGGAAAGTAATAGTTGGTTTTAAAACGCAATATTACGACCACGCGGCACGCTAAACTTCCCGCCATGGCAGAGCAAACTTGCGTAAAACCACGGGAAAGTTTGCGATTTTGATAGTACTTATACAAAGTCACAATTATGAAAACAACCACTGTAAGGCTTTACTGTTATTGTTTTAGACAAATAAAACCAAACATACAGGTGGTGTCTCAGACATCTTAAAATACAGCGCCGTACGGCTCATGAAAGGTAATCACAACGAACGTCTGTTCAGGGCCGTGACAGCAGAAGGAATGATGATACGGGTCTAGGAGCCTACCCAGTTGGTGCGCATGCGCTAAGGGAGGTAACTCCGTGAGGTAGGGTCCGTATAATAAATAAAGAGTTTATTTATTGTACAATCTTTTATTCAAAAACATTGATATTAACTGTCACAGGACATTTTACAGCCGGAAAATGCATAATATGTACCCCAAGGACGATCTCTGAAAAAGAATGCTAACACAATTTCTGGCAAAACTCTGTCCCACGTTTTGTCACACTCTGCTGTTTTCACTAAAGAAGTTTTTAATGTTCTGTGAGCTCTTTCAACTGGATTTGCCGGAGGTCTAGCAACTGGAGTATAACTGCATCTAACTCCCAACTTGGAAGTAAACACACAAAACTCTTTTGATGTAAAAACAGTACCTTTATCCATATGTAAAACAGTGGGTGAGCCAAATATGGAAAACAGACGTTCAAGCACTGTTGTTGCACTAGATGTCGTCGCCGTACGAAATGGAAAGGTGAAAAACATCCTACTCAAATCATCTAAACATGTTAACACATACAAATAACCACAAGACGAACGTGGAAGTGGGCCAACAAAATCACAATGAAGAACCTTCCAAGGACGCGAAGCAGTAACAGTAACACTTAACGGAGATCTTGCTATAGCATGTGGACCCTCTATACACACAGTACATTTCTCCACTATTTCAGCTACCCTCGCGTTGTGTAACTGAAGAATCAACTTTTGTGCTAATTGCCATGTTCTTTTATACCAAAGTGACCCAGTACATGTGCTTTGAGAATAATATCACGTCGTTTTTCTTGACCTCTAGTCACAGCTAACACTGGTAATTCATTGGCGTCTTCAACAGGCTTACGACTCAAAATATCACTTGGAATGTTTTCATTCCCTGGAATGTGATCAGTGTCAAATGAGTAATCAGAAAGTTCTAAACTCCATCTGGCGAATTTCTCTGATTGATTTCAAAATGTATGTCTGAGGTTTATGATCTGTTCTCAAACGAAACGTCTTCCCGAACACATAGGGTCGAAAATTCCTAACAGCCCAAATTATCGCCAGTGCTTCTCGGTGGATAGTGGAATAATTTCGTTCAGTTTTGGAAAGTTTCTTCGAAGCATAACTGATGGGGTGGTCATCTTGCAAAAGCACTCCCGCTAAACCTGTCTTACTAGCATCTGCTTGTATTATGAATTGCGAGGCCTCTGCACTAAAAATCAGGATGTTTCAAAACAGGGTAAGACGTCAAGATCAACTTTGAGCCTATCAAAGATTCCTGATGTGGCGACTGCCAACAGTAGACACGCTTTTCAACAACACGACTGAGAGACATAATAAGATCTGAACAATTTGGAATGAACCTCTGAAAGTACGTTGCAAGGCCTACCAACGAACGAACTGCTTCCCATGAAGTCGGAACCGGGAACTGCCTGATTGCTTCCAAACCTTTCTTTCCTGGACTCACACCTGAAGCAGAAATCTCATAACCTAGATATTGGACACTCTCCATGAAGAAAAACATTTGTCTGGCCTCAAAGTAACACCAGTGGATGCAACTTTTCAAATACCTGTCTCAAACTGTCCAAATGTTCATCAGCTGTACTGGAATGGACTAACGCATCGTCCAAATACACCCAAAACATGATCACGAGTTAAGCCACCTAGTACTACATGCATCGTACGCTGAAAGGCTAATGGCGCAGTCTTTAATCCGAAACACATTCGTTTGAACTGGTAAACACCTGAGCTTGTTTGAAATGCAGTGAGAGGACGAGATTGTTCGGCAAGATTTATCTGGTTATACGCTGCATTCATGTCAAGTGTGCTGAAATATTTTGAATTTTAAGTCTCATAAGTGCTTCACTTGGAGACATCAAAGGAAAAAATCATCTTTTATCTGCTTGTTTATAGCGCGTAGGTCCAGACAAAATCTCAGAGTTGAATCAGATTTGCGTACCAAAACGATTGGTGATAATACAGTAGAGTTACTTGGTTCAACTATGTCCTGCTCAATCATAGATTGTGTCTGTTTGTCGATAATGTCATCAATATGGGGACCGAACTGCCGTCGACCATGTCGCACTTGACAGATCAGCATCTTCCTTCAGGTTCAGTTCATAGGTAAAGTCTTTCACAAAACCTAACCCACAAAATATGTTTTTCTCTTGTATATTGCTTCAACAAACTGCATAATTTTGACTTGTGTTTATTGTCAATGGGACCTATATTCCAATTTGTGGAACTAGAATCGAAGATACAGAATCATTCACAGGCAGATTGCCGGCAATGTTAGACGCCTGGCCTACTGTGTCTGACACCTATAAACACGCTTGTTGACAACATCGGGATTCATAACGGCAACATAAGCATCATCAGTTCAAGAAACAGATCTACCAACTATCAACCCAGTCCTAGATTCAAACTCAGAATGTTTTTCTATCATCACATGTTCGGCCACAGTATTTGACTGACTAATAGCTACTCTCAAGATTGCTTGACTTCTTGGTGGAATAGTAGTACCTTCAGCAATATGAACCTTGTGTACGCTTCCATCAGTAACTAGATGTTTAAAGTCCGCTGACTTTTCCTTTGGCTTAATGACTACTTCCTCAAACCTACACATAAAGTCCCATCCTAGCAACAAATGGTCATCACGAACATCCAACACATGGAATCTACTATCATGGATTTCACCACTGATCTGTATAGTTGTATCGAACACACCGATAACGCACAAAGAACCCGACAGATCAGTTAATATAGATTTTGTCTCTCCTAGACAAACACCATTTGGAAAAGCTTTCTTAAGCAAAGACACACTTATGCACGAGACGCTAGCTCCACTATCTATGATTGCAGTGAAAGACTCGCTACCAAGACGGATTTGTGTGGTTGGTGAATTTTGAGGAATTGAGGGAAAGTTACTGTTGGTGTCTGAAGAAACACAATGTACATGGGATTTATCTGGACATTTAGTCGCAATGTGTCCATATTTTCGACAGTTGTAACACCGAATGTTTCTGTACTTTGACATATCACTCGACTCTGTATCACGACATTCAGCTGCTGACTTTAAGAAACAAAGCTTGCTACGACTATTTGATGAACCTAAATCCGTTTCTTCTTGTAACACTGTCGCTCCTTGTTACCTGGCTTCTAGCAATAATTGCACTTGATAAGAAACACAGACTTATCACTGTCCTCACACGGAGAACCTGCAAGACTTCTAGCCATGTCTACAAGAGCATCAAATTTTGGAGATTTAGATTGTTGACAAAGGCAATGTTCAGTTCTCAATTTCTCACTTGACAAGCCATCAAAAAATCTTTTTTTCATTTTTGTTTGCTTTTTGCGAATAAGGGGTATGTTTCATCAACCTTAACCTGAAGACGGTGGGCGAAATCATCAATGGATTCATGGGGTTTTTGACACATGTCTCTGAACTCCCTAGCAGCAGTTTGAGTACGCTCTTGGGTTCTATCAAGTTCTTTAATCAAAGCGGCTTTCAGACTTGCATAATTAGTTTTGTTTTCATCAGAAACATCGTTGAATACTCGTGAGCAAAACCCTGCAGGAAGTACTAAAGCTAAGCCACGTAACTGTTTATCAGAGTTCCAGTTTTGGCCCAAAGCTTTCACTTCATACACATTTTCAATACAGTTCGCAAACGTTGACCGTTTGGGATCAAACAGAGGAATTTTGAAATGCTTGATATCGCCAGAATGTTCTTGACTTGTACCACCTTCAGCCATGATGAAATGAAGAGTATTCTTGCTTAAATGTTCAAAGTCACAGAAGACGAAAGAGTTCAACCACAAGGTCAAAATGGCAAAATGGAACAAACTCACGTTACAGTTCGATGAAGAGCACATTCCGTGAAATTCTTCATAAAGTCGTACTTCCTTCAAAGTTCTTCCATGTGTCCACACTATCCCACCGCTGCCACCATTGTAAGGTCTTCAGGCCCACATAACACGCAACACAGGTGTACAAATAACAGACGTTTACTTGACGAAGACAAAGACGAGACTGACTACAATTGAGAAACAATCACACAACACAGTTGACGAGTCCACGTGCAGGCGCACGCTCTTGATGGATGCGTTCGTGCGATGCTGTCCAAATACCGGGAACAACCTCACAGCGTAAACAGCGAAACAGTAGGGTGTGCGGCTCAGATCAATTTGGCATGAATATTTAAACAGAAGGGTGTGCAGATTGGATCAAGTTGGCGTAAATAGTGAAACAATAGGGTCTACGGCTTGAATCAAGTTGGCGTGAATAGTGAAACACTAGGGTCTGCGGATTGGATCAAGTTGGGTAAGTAGTGAAACAGTAGTGTGTGCAGCTCTGATCAATTTGCCATGAATAGTGAAACAGTAGGGTGTGCAAGTGGATGGAGCTGGCGTAAATAGTGAAACAGTAGGATCTGCGGCTTGGATGAAGTTGGCGTGAATAATGAAACAGTAGGACATGCAGCTTGGATGAAGTTGGTGTGAATAGTGAAACAGTAATACGTGTGGCTTGGATCAAGTTGGTGTGAATAGTGAAACAGTAGGATCTGCAGCTTGGATGAAGTTGGCGTGAATAGTGAAACAGTAGGACATGTGGCTTAGATCAAGTTGGTGTGAATAGTGAAACAGTAATACGTGTGGCTTGGATGAAGTTGGTGTGAATAGTGAAACAGTAGGATCTACGGCTTGGATGAAGTTGGTGTGAATAGTGAAACAGTAATACATGCGACTTGGATCAAGTTGGTGTGAATAGTGAAACAGTAGGACGTGCGGCTTGGATGAAGTTAGCGTGAATAGTGAAACAGTAATACGTGCGGCTTGGATCAAGTTGGTGTGAATAGTGAAACAGTAATACGTGCGGCTTGAATCAAGTTGGTGTGAATAATGAAACAGTAATACGTGTGGCTTGGATGAAGTTGGTGTGAATAGTGAAACAGTAGGATCTGCGGCTTGGATGAAGTTGGTGTGAATAGTGAAACAGTAGGACATGTGGCTTGGATGAAGTTGGTGTGAATAGTGAAACAGTAGGACATGTGGCTTGGATGAAGTTGGTGTGAATAGTGAAACAGTAATACGTGTGGCTTGGATCAAGTTGGTGTGAATAGTGAAACAGTAGGATCTGCGGCTTGGATGAAGTTGGTGTGAATAGTGAAACAGTAGGATCTGCTGCTTGGATGAAGTTGGTGTGAATAATGAAACAGTAGGACATGTGGCTTGGATGAAGTTGGTGTGAATAGTGAAACAGTAATACGTGTGGCTTGGATCAAGTTGGTGTGAATAGTGAAACAGTAGGACATGTGGCTTGGATGAAGTTGGTGTGAATAGTGAAACAGTAATACGTGCGGCTTGAATCAAGTTGGTGTGAATAATGAAACAGTAGGACGTGCGGCTTTAATCAAGTTAGTTTGAAGAGTGAAATAGTAGGATCTGCGGCTTGGATCAAGTTGGTGTGAATAGTGAAACAGTAATACGTGCGACTTGGATGAAGTTGGTGTGAATAATGAAACAGTAGGACATGTGGCTTGGATGAAGTTGGTGTGAATAGTGAAACAGTAATACGTGTGGCTTGGATCAAGTTGGTGTGAATAGTGAAACAGTAGGATCTGCGGCTTGGATGAAGTTGGTGTGAATAGTGAAACAGTAGGACATGTGGCTTGGATGAAGTTGGTGTGAATAGTGAAACAGTAATACGTGTGGCTTGGATCAAGTTGGTGTGAATAGTGAAACAGTAGGATCTGCGGCTTGGATGAAGTTGGTGTGAATAGTGAAACAGTAGGACATGTGGCTTGGATGAAGTTGATGTGAATAGTGAAACAGTAATACGTGTGGCTTGGATCAAGTTGGTGTGAAGAGTGAAACAGTAGGATCTACGGCTTGGATGAAGTTGGTGTGAATAGTGAAACAGTAATACATGCGGCTTGGATCAAGTTGGCGTGAATAGTGAAACAGTAGGACGTGCGGCGTCATGGACTGGTCCTGGTATGGTATAACCCTAGGCCTGTATCGGGCGTCATGGAGTGGTCCAGGCGTCACGGATGGTGATGAACAAATATCAGCCGAACTGTGCCGGGGTGAGGACACTGGCTGGTGATGAACAATATCAGCCGAACTGTGCCGGGGTGAGGACACTGGCTGGTGATGAACAATACCAGCCGAACTGTACCGGGACGAGGACACTGGCTGGTGATGAACAATACCAGCCTAACTGTACCAGGGCGAGGACACTGGCTGGTGATGAACAATACCAGCCCTAACTGTGCCCGGGTGAGGACACTGGCTGGTGATGAACCATACCAGCCGAACTGTGCCGGGGTGAGGACACTGGCTGGTGATGAACAATACCAGCCTAACTGTATCGGGTGAGGACACTGGCTGGTGATGAACCATACCAGCCGAACTGTGCCAGGGTGAGGACACTGGCTGGTGATGAACAATACCACACTGGCTGGTGATGAACAATACCAGCCTAACTGTACCGGGGTGAGGACATTGGCTGGTGATGAACAATACCAGCCGAACTGTACCGGGGTGAGGACACTGGCTGGTGATGAACAATACCAGCCTAACTGTGCCGGGGTGAGGACACTGGCTGGTGATGAACAATACCAGCCTAACTGTACCAGGGGTGAGGACACTGGCTGGTGATGAACGGTACCAGCCGAACTGTACCGGGGGCGAGGACACTGGCTGGTGATGAACCATACCAGCCGAACTGTACCGCGGCGAGGACACTGGCTGGTGATGAACAATATCAGCCGAACTGTGCCGCGGTGAGGACACTGGCTGGTGATGAACAATACCAGCCTAACTGTGCCGCGGTGAGGACATTGGCTTGTGATGAACAGTACCAGCCGAACTGTGCCGGGGTGAGGACATTGGCTTGTGATGAACAGTACCAGCCGAACTGTGCCGGGGTGAGGACACTGGCTGGTGATGAACAATACCAGCCTAACTGTACCGGGGTGAGGACACTGGCTGGTGATGAACGGTACCAGCCGAACTGTACCGGGGTGAGGACACTGGCTGGTGATGAACCATACCAGCCGAACTGTACCGCGGGCGAGGACACTGGCTGGTGATGAACAATATCAGCCGAACTGTGCCGCGGTGAGGACACTGGCTGGTGATGAACAATACCAGCCTAACTGTGCCGCGGTGTGAGGACACTGGCTGGTGATGAACAATACCAGCCCTAACTGTACCGGGGCGAGGACACTGGCTTGTGATGAACAGTACCAGCCGAACTGTGCCGGGGTGAGGACATCTGCTTGTGATGAACAGTACCAGCCGAACTGTGCCGGGGTGAGCCCAAACCACTTTACTGCATCCGTATTTTGTAATCGGTAAACAATAATAACACATTATGATTGAACTATGTAAGGTAGAACCTGAACTTGATCAATATGTAGCAGGACTGCGTCAGTCACGCACAGACAACAGACGCTACTTTTGTTGTTCTTCAATGGCCGATGATTTATTGGAGATATGGTATAGGTGAAACCGACAACCCTGAAACAATCAGATGTACAATATAATAAATGCAGCAATATACACATATCCAAACACAGATATACACATATAATTCGTACATATGTCATAGCATTACAAAATAGTTGCTTCAGTAAACAATTACTGTGTACAAAATGTATTTCATTTGATATACATGACATATATACAACATATAAACCTACCAGGTGTGTGGGCCTAGGTTTTTATTTCACACCTGGGGACGCTGCTGTATCTGTATCAAATGTTTGCCTGTAGAGAAAATAACAATAATATATACAGACATGCTAATGATGAACATATACAAAAAGCATTCTCAGCACTGATACAGTAATCAAACACAAACTTGGCTGTAGCTGAGCAAGATATAAAACAATGCAAAATAAGACCTCATTCATTCATTCATTCATTCATTCGTGCTTATTTTCATTCACCCATTTATGATTACAAAGCTATACTTGTGTTCATCCATTCATCTCATGCTCACGTGGTTAACCTTGCCTTTTAATAATCATGTTACTAATATTACATTATAATGAATGTAGAGTATTTATCACCAACTTCACAGTACTAATTTAAGACTAACACACACTGATACAACTAAACTGAGGGGCAAAAGAAACGTCCCCGATCATTTTTGTATCATAAAATGATACAAACACGTGCAATTCAATGTTGAAATGTTTGATATAATTTTTGAACATATTATGCAGACTGTCATTACAGAACAATTGAAACAATTTGCTGTAAGTAGAGTTTTTGTGACGTTTTTCACAGGAGGTTCAAATGTCCGGTTGTCGATCATGACAACACATGCACATCAGTACTGACAGAGTGTCTTTGAGTGTCCAACTCCTCAGTAGCGAGTGTGTCCACCTCTTGCAGCGATACATGCTGCCACACGACGTCGTGCAGAGTGCACAAGACGTCTGATCACGTGATGTGGGATGCGACGCCATTCTTCCTGTAGAGCTTGAGCCAAAGCGTTTCTTGTCTGTGGGGATGTTGACGTTGCTTCACCTGACGGCCGAGATGATCCCATAGGTGCTCAATAGGTGATAAATCGGGGATCTTGCTGGCCAAGGAATGACGTTTACGTTGTTGTTGTTCAGGAAGTACCGGGTAACAACAGCAGTGTGGGGAGTAGCGTTATCCTGCTGAAACAACACGCCTCGATTCTGCTGGAGGAAGGGTAACACGACAGGTCGTAAAACAACATCAATGTATCGACGGGCATTCAGGTTTCCCTCTATCACCAACAAGTCAGTCTTCCTCTCGCCACAAATTCTCCCCACACCATCACACTACCGCCGCCAAACGTCTCAACTTCCTGAACGCAACAACGTGCTGGAGCGTTCGTTCCGACGTCTGTAGACTCGTACCCGACCATCAGCTTTGTTCAACTGGAAGCGGCTCTCGTCACTGAAGAGTACCCGGCGCCAGTTCCGCGGCTGCCACTGCCGAACTCTACGTGCCCAAGCCAATCGACGACGTCGATGTTCACGCGTTAACGTCACGCCCCGGAATGGTCTGTAGGCTCTGATACCGAATCGGCGGAGTCGTCTGGATATGGTCCTTCTACTGACTGGATGGGTAAGGCTGGTTGTTGCTGATGACGTCACAGTCAGGAATCTGTTGCGCAAGTGAAGCACCCGTAAATGGCGGTCTTCCTGAGGGGTGGTTACGGGTGGTCTCCCTGTCCTAGGCCTGTCTGCAGTCCGACCTGTTGTTCTGAAGCGTGTCATCAGTCTGGTGATGGTTTTCTTGCTGCAACCCATGATTCTTGCAACGTGACTGTGAGAAGCACCCAGCTGCAACATCCCAATAGCTCGTCTCTCTGTTCTGCCGTGAGTCGAGGCATGTTCTTTGTGTCCAACGTATTGAAGTGATGAATTCGAACAGTCGAGCATCATTTTTATACTGTACTTTCATACGGGTATGTTTCCACAGAAGCATGCAAAAAACGTGAATAAAAGCAATTTTCATGCTTACAAAAAACTCCACGTGGATTTCCTTTCTGTGAGACGTGGGGATGCGTTCGGGAGACGTGTTCCTAAATAAATTTCCGTCATAACGAAAACAGAAGAAATGTTTTTACAATTTTACTTTGGGGACGTTTCTTTGCCCCCTCAGTTTACAAGTTATATCTACAAATGATATACATGAACAATAAATAGATAAGATATCCAAATTACCTTAGAATATGATCCATAGATGTGATCCAAAGGTATGTCCAGAAAATGAACAGGACATGTTGACACACTGAAGATTGAATGTGAGTGACCACAAACCTTGTAATGTGTAAAAGTGTAAAGCTTAGCTGATTGCCCAAGCTGGCTATAAAGACAAAAAGAACGTAGGTGGGGAAGGGCTTATGTTATTGTGCTGTGTGGTGAACATGCGGTAAGCATGCTCAGTGAACTGGCTGTGAGTGAAAGTTAGTTAAGGCAGGCTAAGTATCATGATAAAAATAAAATGACTAAAGCTGTGCAATGAAATTTGAAGCATTTATTTACATGAAATCTAATCAATTTACAACATGTTAAAATATACAAAATCTGTTACTGCCACATACTTCCTCCTGTGGGAAAATGACGTCCACGTCATTCTTGGGGTTCGTCAATGAGTGAAAGAAGTGCTTTGGAAATGCCACTGCTGATGTGACCAATGACGCCGGTAGCAACTAACTGTTTTATGCGTCGACTCTTCTGATGCCAATCTGGATCAGAAGTCTGGCACATCACATATTCCCCGGACGTCTGCCATGTTGGTTTCTTAGATTGGCGTCCAGAGCGTCGTGGAAGTGGTGTTGGTCTTGAGACAACTACAGGAGTTACAGGAGGAGATTCCCTTCCAAATGAGTCTTCTTGCTCTGGTGTGTCTTCAGGTTCTGCTTCTGTGCAGTCTTTACTAGTATCCGTCTGCATGTGGTCGTCACCACCAGAAGCATTACAATCTGTCTCAGCAGACACCTGGTCGTCACCACTTGTCTGTGAGATAGATGTATCCTTGTCCACAGTACTCCCACTGATGAAAGTGTCTTCATCAGGAACTGCTGGAATTATCAACAGATCTTCCTTCTCTGACTCATTGTCCTGAGTGTCTTCTGATTCCACTGATGATTCGGTGACTGGTTTGGTCGGTTTCCTGGATCTTGGTGCAGGTGTTGGCTTTGGTGTAGCAGGTGCGTTGGAAATGGGAACTGATCCTATAGACGTCCTGGATCTTGGCGCAGGTACTGGCTTTGGTGTAACTGGTGCTTCAGAAATGGCAATTGACCCTATAGGAAAGAGGTGATTCCGATGAAGGGTCCTCTTCCTCCCCTCTCCCGTTTCTCTCTGCACAACAAACACAGGGATATCCTGGTTTGGCTGCGAGAGAACAACAAACGGATCCTCTTCCCAGCGATCTGCCAACTTATGTTTTCCATCAAAGGCAAGCGCCTTTACTAGTACTCTGTCTCCAGTCTGAACAATCGTGCCAAGCACTTTCAAGTCATAACCAGTCTTCTGTCTATCTTTGGCTGTCTCTGATGCTCTGGCTGCTAGCTCATAAGCCTCTTGAAGTTTCTTTCGAAGAGAATCCCTGTATGATGAAACTGATCCATGCCCCTGGCTGGTTTCAATGCCAAAAGCCAGATCAATTGGCAGACGAGGCTCTCGACCAAACATCAAGTAAAATGGGGGAATGGTTGGTGGATTCATGCCTAGTACTGTTATATGCATGGACAGGGGGGAACACATAGCTCTTCCAATCCGTCTTCTTGTCAGGCTGTAGAGTTCCGAGCATGCTGAGTAGTGTCCTGTTGAAACGCTCAACCATTCCATTGCCCATTGGATGATATGGAGTTGTCCTGCTTTTCTCCATTCCCAAGATGGTACATAGTTCCTTCATCAGACGGCTCTCAAAATTAGCTCCCTGGTCACTATGTATACGCTTGGGAATGCCATAGTGTAGAATGAAGTTTCTAAAGAACACTTCTGCTGTTGTTTTTGCAGTCATGTTGCGTGTTGGAATCGCTTGTGCATATCTTGTAAAATGGTCAGTTATGACAAGTACATACTGATGACCTCCTTTAGAAGCTTCTAGAGACAAAAAGTCAAGACAGACTAACTCCAAGGGCTGGGTGGTAGTTATGTTCATCAGAGGTGCACGAGCATTGGTAGGAGACTTCCTGCGTAAACATCGACCACATC